ATGTCAAGTTACCAAATAAACAATTGTATTTTTGCAGTGGCAATATTAACGACAACAAAATACCATACCATAATAAAAAAAATCAGAAATTCAACAAGACCAAGTTTCAGATATTAAGTATACTGTATATGTTCGTTTCAGCCAAATGACGTCCACTGCTGAACAAAGGCCTCTTACAAGGTTTTCCACAATGAACGGTCCTGCGCTGCCCGCATCCATGTATATGTTCACTAGGAACAATTTCCTATTTGCTTAGCATGTGCTATTACTATACACAAATCACAAGACCTTAGCCTTGAGATTGAGAGTGCTCTTCTCGACATAGGCTCCTCTATATTTAGTAAAGGGCATGCTTACGTTGGACTCTCCAGAGTTAAAACCTTAGATGAAGGACATCTTATCATATCAATCAAGGCACAAGAGAACTCTATTGTAGAGTACAACCGGTAGGATCACAATTGAAGACTGAGAGTGAAAAATTTAGTAATGAAACAGAATTGTTCGGATGTAACTTAATCTTTAACTAATTAGTGACACGTAGTCTCACTGGCGTCGCATGTTTTACAAATTCTTAGAATTGACCACTTCCCTCGCTTGCCGCGACCCAGCGTCTTAGTAGCTTTTATTTTAGTGCTAAAACGACCACAGAAGAAGGCAGACGTGTTATCGGTTCGGTCGTCAAGGTTCAAACGGGAGGGGGGAATTATCATGTCACTAGTTAAAGGTTAAATTTCAGGAGAAGACTCAATAGCTGAGGAGGAGCAGACAGCAGATACTTCCTATGAAGAAGCTCCGGAATTTCCTATTCTGGCCAACTTAGTGGAACTGGTCGACGGCTACCCCTGATGAACTTCGGACGACAACTGAGGCGCTGACCAGATTCAAGCAGCTAGCGGAAGGCCATGACAATAAACTAAAATGTTGGGACTCTAGGGAAGCCTGAATAAGCGTGCCATAAGCCCGTTCAAAGCAAGTGGATTTTAAAGAGGAACTTTTATCCCATCATACTATCCATTAATTCTATTTTAAATTTTGGATATGGAGATAAGAGTGCAGACGAGAAACCATGCTCAAAAGTAAACATTTGCAGTTATGCTGCGCCTGAGTAGAGTGCACTATGTAGTGCGTATTGATGATGGCTCGATCTGGACGCGCCAATTGAACCAGCTGATGTCAGCGCGCTTGTGCCGCAGTTAGGAATCGCGGCGGATATTGAAGATAGAAATTTATTATGTCTTCAATAATGCGAAATTTATTTTAGGCAAACAATAAGTATGTATAACTAATGTTTGCAGAATTGCAGATAAAAAAACAACAACAAAATGTTGTATAGACGCATCAATGAGGCCAGTAGTCTGCCAAACTGGTCAGGTGGCCAAATTTTAGGTTTTTGGGGTTGTATGAGCTCTATGGGCTAAAAAAAAGTCACGGCAGTGAACTGCAGACTTAACGCACTTCAATTTTTGGAGTTATTTTGTTATAGCTACATTGAGCAGTGTCTATCGTGTGGCTATTATTTATTTGGCCAAGGACAACAGATCATAGGTCACGGGCAAGAGTTCAATTGTTACAATGGCCAGCTAGTCTTCTTGACTTGAACCCAATTGAACATCAACCAATGTATAAATAGGAACAATATACAATTCGACAACTTTTGTTTACATATCCTTGTAAATCATTAAGAGCAGCGAAATGTGCTGGAACATAGTTGACATAGTGTAGTGACAACAGAAATGACAACTAGAATGGCATCTACATTGGAAAATATCGGTGGGCACATTCCTTATTAATACCAAAGTGGAAAAGATACTCGCGCTACTATGATGGCCTTTTATTCTCTCTTTTGACCATTACCATAACCCAATCTCATTACTTCTAAATGCTCTAGAGTGAGTGAGACTGAGGAGTATGAACAATTTATGAACGTATGACTGAGGGAAAGATTGCTCAGAGATGAAGGACAATCAGCGATTGCAATATTTTTAAAGACGAAAATAAACCTTTTCCGATAAAATGTGCCTTTTTTGCAACATTTTATTATTTACATATTTCGTGCACCAGTATAAAATTATAAACACTTGATACTATTCTTATCAGGTTGTCACTAAGTGCTCATGCTATACGTAATACTATGATAAATATAGCTTGTTTTTATTCAAACAAACTGATAACTCAATCAATATCACTTAAACACGGTGTCTCGTATCAAATTGTCTCAATCTAACTCCAGCTGTTAATCAAGAAAGATGCCTTGCTTCACAATTCTGACAAATGTACCGAAGAGCAAAATACCAGTTGATTTTGCTGATAAAATTATTCCTGTATTATCAAGAGTAGTTGGCAAATCTGCTGATGTAAGTACCATTAGAAAACGATCACAAATTGTGCATGAAAAATTGATAAATATTTGAGAAATAATCATTTTGAGTGCAAGTGATAAAAACAAAAGCATGTAGTGCCTGTGTACAAGATCTTTGAAGTGTGTTTGAAATTTTCGATATCTACGATCGTGATTTGTAATATCTTAGCTGTAGCATAATATTAGTCTTGCTAGGTTTCTTTTTTTTCTCTTCCAATAGTCTTTGATATAATATTTAAACTGTTTGTTAAAGTGAAACTACATTTAATAAGAAAAATGTGTTTCCGTCTTATTACCACTAAACGTAGACTAAATAAAAGCTTGGGCGAAACCATGGAATTACTATTACTGCCTATTCCTTAAAACCCCACATCCTAAACTCTTCTTGTACGATTATTTTGACGTTTTTGAGATTTGACCATCAACACCATTTTTATTAAGTGAACTCATTGACAGAAGGTCGAATTAATATGCTCGTTTTAGTTCTGATTACTTCTTATTAATAACTAATGGCCGATTCAGGCCAGTAATCGTCTAAACTATTGAGCTACAAACTAGTTAATAAAAGTAATTATAAATAAATACATCTTCAATTAAAATCGATGAAGTATCAAACGCCTGTTGTAATATTTTAGCACCTTAGTCGTAATCAGAAATAGTGCTGAATGAACTTCAAAGTTTTATAAGTACACTGACAGTGACATAAGTATTTGGTAAATAAAAACCTACCTACCAGTGCTTTTAAGACTTTAACGTATTTGTAAAAATGTCTATCTTTGTAAATGGCTAATAGCGGGTGGACAAAAAGGTCTATTAATACACAAGTAGATGGAAAACTCAAGCCAGGCTACTAGTATCACAATTGATCTTATTTCAGAAATTCACATGCATTATTTCCGGTGACTGCATAGCATCTTTTGGTGGGGACTCCACTAGCCCGGGAGCAGTTGCGACCCTGGAATCCATTGGAAACCTGAACTCCAAGCAAAATAGAGTCATTGTCAAGGAATTGTCAGACTTCCTGGCAAAAGAAATCAACGTCATGCCGGACAGGTATGTATTGTAACTATGTATTTATGTATAAAATCTTGTGTCATATCATACCTCCTGGTTACGCCATAAAAGCAATTACTCTGTAGAATAACTTTTTGTATGTTGTCTCCTGTTAAATCGCCGCGTCTGACTTAATGTAAGCGGATCGGTAGCGCCCCGGCTTCGTCGTCTAGGCGACACGCCGCGCTTACGGCTCCCCGACCGCTGGTTGACCTGGCACCTGAGTGCTTAATGCGAGTTTTTTTAACTTCTTCTTCTTTTTTATTTTGGAAACGACTTGGTTGTGAGAACCATGATATCGCCAATGTCATAACTTCACCATCGCGTTAGAGTTCATTCAGATATGTATAGCACTGAATTAGCACTTATCTGTAGACATACGCGAGAGCTAAAACATACGCCAGAAGTAAAAATTGGGTGTAAGTTTTTTTTTACTTCGAAGATGGTGCACGTTTATGTTTTACTTGGAAGATGTTTGAGACCAATATAGCGCAAGATGACCGCAATTGTTTGTCCAGTGTTTGTACAAAAACCCATACTTCTGGCAATATCCTAAGAGATCTTTCGGAGGCCGAATTTAAGAGAAGATATCGGCTGCCGAAGAATTTCATACAAACAATACTGAATAGTTCGAGTTGATACGTTGACCATTCCTTTCAGAGTTAATAAGTGTGCTGCGACCTTTTAGCATAAACGTTCCGATCGATGTCTGAACATCAGGTATAGCGTCTGCGGTCAATAAAAGTGCATCTCAGGCGAACAACGACGTCTCGTTCACAACAGTGTTCGCGTGTATGATATAAAATGGATATAAATTCGACATTTCGGTGCTTTTGTTACTTGGAGATGCAGAAGATGGCCGTATACGAAGAAAAATGAGGATAACAAGGCAACTGAATATTTATGAAGAGAAAGACAGGATGTTTCCATATTTTGATAATGAAACACTTAAAATACAGCAACCACAACAGTACATTTCTGTAGTAAGCAATGACAATGTGTTCAGGAAAGAAGACCACAGCCTTAGCTAGAATATGCAATTGTTACAATCCCTGACATTAACAATACATTCAATGATTTTAAAAAGAAATGTATCATAAATTATTTTTAGACATATATTACAGAGACACTGCGTTTTCAGTGTATGCTGTTTGTTTTCTAAAAACAATACAATAAGATTTTCAAGTTACAGTCTAAACTCATAACCTGTCAAAATCACTGAAACTGACCAAAAAAGCTGCTATCGATAAACAATTTGATCGCACTTTGCTTTGGTGACATGACCAGGAAGTATGACAGAAAATCTTACAGCCTTATATTATATAAGACAAATCTGATTAGAGAAACACAAACAACAGATATAAAGTTTTATTGCACAACATTACTAAATAAATTGGTTATATTACAGAAATTAGTACAACAAGAAGATATATCTTCCTTGTCATTTCATTCACTTGATTTTCTCCAAACAATTGGAACTAAATTTTTTTTTTATAAATAATATAATTTTATGTTTGCAGATTTTTCATAAGTCTCTACGATATACAGAGCCACAACGTTGGACGATTCGGAAAAACGGCAGAAGAACTCCTCGGATAAAAACAAACTCCAACAAACATTTATATCTAAGGAAACAAACTCCAACAATCATTTATATCTAAGGTGCATTAATACAAAAAGAATTTTATTGTACATAGCACAACATAACGATTTTAAGCATTTTACTCGTTGGAGTGAACAAGAACTGCCTAAAGACGCTTTATTAAAATTTAAAATGTATGCCAGCCAAAACTGAAAATGTAACCTAGTTGTAATGCTGTAACAGAATAAACAGTCACAACGATGCAATGTTAAATTTGTAAGATTTTCAATTTCTGAATACATGTTTATTACATAATCGGCTTTATTTTTTACAATTACAAATAGACAATAATACTCATCTACACTCTAGAAACATCCATTAAGTCGCTAACAATTTTGTAAGTTCTTATAGTTTTGTGCTATTTACCTCACTTTCACACACGTTGGTAACAACCCCTTTTAAAGCGTTGGATTTGACGACTACTCCTTCCTCGTCAATCCACGCTACTCCATCACCATCTCTCCAAAAGACAGTATTTTCTGTTATAGCATTTTTAATCGATTCTTCTTCTTCCCATGAAAATGTGTCCACAGACTGACTGTTTTCTAGTGGAGGTTTTCTTATTATTTCTTCCACATCTTTATCGACTAAAGTAACGTCGACCAAACTTTTAGTTTCTTCTTCATCGGTCTTTACAATATACTTGATATCATCGTCTCCAATCTCATCGACGGTTTGTAATAAATGATCATCATCATCATCATCATCAAAATGTTCAATAGAGTCAGATTCAATACTGTTCAGAATTCTCTCAGCCCTGAACTTCCATCTTTCAAGATTTTTATTTGCCATTTTGTACATTGTTACTGTATTTGGAAGTATTTTGTGCAGCATAGCATAACACGGTATGCATATTTGGCTCAAGAAACCCACCTGGAACAAGTAAGTACTACTTTCATAATTACACTAGATAGTATCTTGAAATTATTTAAAATTATTTGTTAGTACCCCCTTACCCCGTACTGAATACGATTCGATGTGTAAGAACCGGTTTCCATTAGATCTGATCAGACTCCTGGTCGGATCCGAAAGAGATTCGGAAGTTATAGGGGCTTAATAATTTGTGTGGAAACCGCGGGTCAAGTGTTCCCGTGTATCCGGATTGGACACCAAGGCGGAGCGGAGCTGGTAGATTATTTCCACCAAAGCGGAGCGGAGACGAGAGGAGATTTGTGAACTGTAAGTAGCTGATAGCTGTCAGTCTATTAGCTGTATTCACGGCTTGAGGAAGAAGAATTAGAGGTTGAAGAAAGAAATTGGACAACCTTATCAGTATGACATTTACGTCAATACTGGGCTACCAGTTCCGAACCCTGCCACTTCAGGTTTCAGAATCGCTTGTTAAACGTCAAATGGTAAAAATCAGAACTAATGATGGGCCTGGCATATGGTCAATAGTACTTCAGCTGTCAATAATTTCAATCCTGTCAAGTATAATTATTACAAAAAATAAAATGACAAATAAAATAAGAATCGATATAAAAGATAATTATAATTTTCAATATCAAACAGTTTTTCCAAAGAGAAAAAGTACTAAGCGCCCCTTTGATTCCATTTACAAACCTTTGAAACATTACAGACAATACAGCAGTACCTAGAGGTAATTTTTATCGATATCGATACAATGCTTGCAGTGAGTAAGGTAGGTAATTAACTTAGGTAGATAATTAGCTTACTCTTTTTGTCATGTGCTCTTTGGCCAACATCTCGTCTCCGCTCCGCTCCACCTTGGTGGAAATCGGGCCTTATTTCTGTAAAGTGCAAATCTTCAAGATACCTAATACCCTTTAGATTTAATCATTCAAATAAATTGCTATTCAGCATTATGAATTCTATTTCAAGAAATTTATTATAAGACAAGTCAATATTATGCATTTACGAGTATGATTATAATCTCGTTATTGTAAATGTTCATTTTAAAATAAATATCGCCGTTGAGTACAAATAAGGCGAGTGATATAATAACCTGACTGGCTGGCTGCTCCTCTGGTTTGTTTCGATCCATCATAGGAATAGGTGTTTTCCCAATAGCCCGCTCTTTATCACCTTGATCATAGAATTCTTCAAATATGACTTTAACAGTTTTTATTTGAACCTCCCAAGGCTTTGCTGAGGCTGACAAATCAGCTGCGGTCATTGATATAGCCATAGCTAAATCTCTAAAATAGAAATGAACTTTGTTTATTTTTATATGTTTATTGTTCAGAGCCTTAGTCAAAGCTCGATAGATCGATATTATTACATACATTCGCTGAAGCGCTTTAATTTAGTTAAAATGCACATGAATTTGTATAAATAAAAAAAATACAACTGCTCGCATTTATTGCCCAAAAATAAAAACTTGCCATACAATCAAAGCCGTGATGGTGACCTAACATTCGCAAAGGCAATGAAGCCAACAGATGAAAGTACACAAGCATCGCGTTATAGTAGGCGCTACAAATATTATTTTACTGTGATACTGTTACTGTGTACAATAGTATTTTAGTGCAATTTTTAATTTTCAAAACATTGTACGTGGCATATCCTAAACACTTACATGTGACTTGAAACCTCCCAATTAAATTTTTGAGTGCTACTATCATTGTGTAGTTCTTTAATTTTTTCTAAATTTGGGAAGAAGGCTGCGAGATCAGTTGCCAGGATAGCTTGACGAATATAGCCTAAAATTTCTTTGTACTCTTCACTTGAAATGTGGGCGAAAATATTATGACCATCCTGCAAATAATTATAATACTTTTTAGAATAAAAAATTCGATATTCTGCCTTTGCTTTATAATTGCGATTATAATAGTTAGTGAATAACTTATTATTGTCGTTCATCTACATTTTACTGTCTTAGAATTTTAGAAGCAAGGGAAATTATTTAAACGTGTATGATTATAAATATTTCAATAGTTATTTTTATGGTTTACCTGCTGCAATATCGTCACAGTGATATTAAAATGATGATGCTCTAGAGTAGACGTGGTATACATGGCTGCAAGAGGGGATGCAGTCTCGCTCATGTACTTGTTAGTGTAGCCACGATGGTCTAGATCGTGACACAAACTAGATACAAAAAGCGCTAGCCTCTGAAAAGAAAAAAGCTGTTGTTTGGTAACATAGCGCAATAACCTATAGTCATGTAAAATTTTGCAAATTAAAATAAATACTAACCCTTATATAATCAAATCTTTGTTCTTTGTCATTCTTTAAAATAACATACATCGCATGTGCAACCGACCAACCATGGTCAAAGTTATGATATGGTACAGTACGGTAATTTTTCTTTACAGTAAGAACAAATCTTGTCAGAGTCAACAAATCAAATTTAGATAACTCAAAGAGATCATCAAACATTTTTATTACACATCTACATTTTTGATACTCATTTAACTTATATGGATCTAAAGCAAAATCATTCAGTTTTACTTCAATATCTTCTGAATTTTCAAGCATCCTTTGTACCTCATATTCCCTACAAGTGTTATGGTAACTCAAAACTTCTAATGCAACTCTGTATTTTTGCTCTTTCCTCATTATTCTGTCGTATAAGCGGGCATGGTGTAAAGCTAAGCCAAAAAATGTCGAAAAAATCTCAAAAGAAACTTCATCCTCACGGTCGAAGTTGTCTTCATTTCTTTTGTTGACCATTTGGACTACCCCAATTACTTTCCCTTCTACTTTAATTGGCATACACAAAATACTAATAGTTTTATATCCTGTAGCTTCATCGACTTCCCTGTAAAAATAAAACTCATAAATGACAACCTTATTTTACGATTCGGCATAGGTACGCACCAAAATTGCAAAATAATCTCTTCAACTAATTATGATCAATGTGGTAATAAAATAGCTTAAGTCAGCAAGGAATTAAAAATATAATTAAAACTCCATCCCATACCTATTGAACCTGTAATCTGAATAAGCATCAGGGATGTTCATAGTCTCACCGGACAGTGCAACATGCCCAGCGATTCCTCTATTAATTGGCATTCTAATTTCTTTCTTTTCCAAATCTCTTTCGTGGCCTGGCTCAAATTTCAGATCAAACACTGTGGAGACTAGTTCGAAGTTTCTGTAGTCGACCAGGAACAAGGATGCTCTATCGGCGTTGACCAGGCGCTGTGCAAACTCTAAGATTCTTTTAATCAGCTGGTCTAATGACACCATTTCCTCGAATATTGCCCTTGAAATTAAAATTATTTTGTTTATATGTATGGTTTTATTCCAAAATGGAGGATGACAAATTATACTAAATGTTAGAAGAATATTTAGTGCTCTTTTCAGATCAAGTGAATAATATCTAAGATTATAAAATCTAATCTTTATAAATCTAATCTCGTTCATTTCTAACGTAGAAGAAGAAAATAGAAGATTGTATGCGTAAAAAATGTCGAGAAAATAAATCATTTATCTACACAATCCTATTACTTCAAATGTCTTATACGTTTTACTTTTACTACAGAGAAAAAAGAAATTATATTTTTTTAATCATCATGACATACTTAACCACGTCCAGTAAAAAGTCTGACATATTCCGCTCTCTCTTTTTGTCAAGATACATATTGCAGTAGTGGAGCGCCAAACTACCCCAAAGCATGAAGCTGGAGCTTACTTGTTCATCTGGTTCCCTAAACCTATCATGGACTCTCCACATTTCAATAACATAACCCGTCTTGCCGTTCGAAATTAAAATGGGCTGATATAAAATGTGGTTTGCTTCTATCTGAAAGAATTATTTTCTTAGGTTATTAGTGTTGTAAAAATACTGGGAAATCTCTCAATCAAGCAATGGAATGAGGTACTTTAATCCAAAGTCAAACTACTGATTGCTGTAGATTTCTTAATTTTGACAGAGACAATCATTGAATGAAAGAAGAAAATAGCAGAAACAAACAATTCGCTGATTTTAAAATGAAAATTCTCACAGATGTATCCATATCCTTTAAAGTTTCGAAAATAGCTCGAGGTGTTTTTGGAAATCTGGCTGGATCTTCATGCCGTGACACTCTTAATGAGGTCATTTTCTTGGCAGCTTCCAAAACTAGCGTTACCTGATCAAGGTCAACTCGATCCAGTGTCAGTGTAGATGTATTACTCTGAAAATTATGTTGATCTTACTTGAATATAAATACTTCGTTCGTTCGTTTGTTTCAGCCAAATGTCGTCCACTGCTGGACAAAGGTCTCCCCAAGGCTTTTTATAACGACCGGTCCTCAAGATAGGTACTAATTGAATAATATTATGGGGTGCAATTTATCGTAATTTGAGAAAGTCCAACACTATAGAAGTACACTATTACCTAAATCAAAAGTAAGTATAATCTGTGAAAATATATAATAGAAATCGACGTTAACGATGACACATCAAACTGAACACTTTGGCATCTTTAGTGGTTGTAAAAGTTTTCACCAGAAATGTATGATGATAAAATGATTCAACAAAAAAAAATGTCATTAAAATAAACTTTATACCTGTATTGTCACAATTAGCAGAGAATTGTATACTAACTTTGTCATCAGCTACAAAACACTGTACGAATGTAGGATGATCTGGATAAAGCTTGTAAATTATGTACGCATCCACACCAACTGACAAGGCAATGGTTTTAGCAAGTTCCCATAGCACTGTGTGTTCACTTAATTCATTTTGTAGATCCTTCACCAGACTCTATAAAACAAAAATGGTAAAAAATATATAGTAGGTATGTATGTCTGGAATTTATAACTTTTGTTAATTACACGTTTCCTGACTCGTGTTATTAGAAACTTACTACAAAAGTTGGCATTGTAGATACACTTTTATGATTCATCTTTGTTCTGCTCTCATACCTTGGTGTGTCATCATCAATCTGCAAAATATATTATTTCAGTTGTCCATAAAACCCAAAAGTAACTTAGCAAAAGAACATTCCATTATTAATTTAATAGGTACTTGCAATGCGCTCTCTTTACTTACGAAATTTTGTTTAATTTTCCTAAAGAACCATCGCTCCATCTCCTCTATAGGCACTGACTCAAGTACGTAGGTTTCTAGAAAGTCCCTGTTGCGGTCCAAATAGTTCAAAACTTCCCGGCTGTCTGCATCTGATAAATTACTTAATAGCAGTAGTTTATTTTCTTACAAAGGATACTGCAAAAATGATGTGTGATACGACGCAGAAAATCTCTTAGTAACCTAAACAAAAGTTACTGTGGCACCAAGTTCCGATTGTTAGCCCGTTCAGAACTACATATACAGTATAATAAATAGCACTCAGTTTTATGTTTAGATGATGATAAAATTCCCAAGATTTACTGAAGAGCAATTTTGTAATTGGCTTTAGGCACATCAATTGACGCTTGCATGATCTTACTACAATGAGCACTCAAACTCAATTTTTTTTAACGATCAGTGCATGGACCTATAAAAAAAGGCGGACGGAACTAGCGCTACAACAAAACTGTGACGCAAAATTTTGGCGTTTGTCTATTGTGTGAGTGAATTTAGGGATGCCATATTAGCCAAAACATTTTACCCATTTATTTTAAGAAAAACATAGATCGGTAGATGTTACTTGGAAATGTAGACAGAATTATTCCGTGCCATTTTAAAAGGATGAAAGGTGAATGCGTTGAGGTAGGCGCGAAATTTTCAATGTTCAAATTTTCTTACATTGTTTGCAAGTCAGTGTGTCAGGGTATGTACATAATGTTGATCAAAAATGATTCACGCAGTTACAAATTACGAATCTTGTGTAGGTACATTATAATCATAATCTTATGCATCATCAATATATTATTATTATCTCTGATAGATTGTTTTTAACATACAACCTGACACTGACTTGCAATCAATGTAAGAAAATTTGAATTTCGCAGTTCCACGTTTTTGGGAAGGATCAAATTTGCCTGTAAGAATATATCCCATTAAAACACAATTATTTTATCATAAATTATTTTATTTCCATAGTATGCGTAATAAATAACTAAAAAGTCCTAAAATTATTATAATTTCCCATATTTCGGGTAATTTTCCCACGTAAATAACTGAGAACACTGGTCTTTGACGTATTATTTTTTCGAGTGAATGACGTTTGATTTCAATTAATTTCAATATTTTAATGTCGGGAAATAAGTGATTGGATTATTATTTTGCCTGTGAAATGTGATTCCTTAATTTTTGTTTGTTCGAACAGAACGGTTTTTACACAATTTCATCACACAAGATATGTCGTATTCGTGTTGTTTTTTCGCTGCTTAAATGTGTCAACTGTGTGAAGTTTGCACTCGAAGTGATGTATCAGGGTGTGAATGTGTGCGTGCCGGCCTGTACGTACAGGCAAGCTGGTGTATCCTAATGTCACAGTATTTTGTTGATGAGAATCCGTCCGACTTTTTTTATAGGTCCATGGATCAGTGTATTTCTTTTTCTGAAACTAAGTTTTAATTTAAATAAAAGAATTATTACATTATATGCTTGGGGCTGTCGAGGTAATAATGACAAACACTATAGAAAGGAATCAGAGTTTTGATATCCTGAAAGACAAGTTATGACAGCTGTCAGCTACAAGTACAGATAACTATTTTCAATTTTAAGATTATAAATAGGTACCTATCGCATGTTTGGACAAAAGTGCCCCATCCCCTTGCAGCCCTGAGTTTTCAGCTTAAATGTCGTGTAGGCAAGTTTGAATATCAATTGTGGTTTTCAGTTTCAAATAAAATTAGCTGTTCCGCTGTCATTTTGTTCAACGTGACGGTTTCCACGGACGAAACATCAGTTACTACCGTTTACAGGCGCCCAATACAACAGAGCTAACAGGAGCCTAGCAAGCTATTGTAAATTACTGTCATTTTGTCATCTATAAATTATCATAAAAGTTATAAGTCACGTATAGGGTTTTTGAAGCCTCTAGCAAAATCACTTTCTTCGGCTCTAAGTTCCAATATTAAAAATGCCACTTCTCGGTGGAGGTATTACAATAAATATTGAAAAGTGTAATATTGTAAGGAGCTCCAAGCATAGTTGCTCTTCACAGAGAATTGAAAATGAAGTATTATTAAAATGAAATGCTTGCAAAGAGGAGGTCTGTTATAACTTCGATCGAACCCATATAAAATTTATTTAGAGACACTTCGAAAGCCTAAAAAATTTATGTTCATCTGATGAAATTGAATTTATACCAACGTTTGGCTCTTTAAAAGATTATAAAGCGGTTGAAATTTTTTTTGTTTCAGAAGGCTTAGGTTATAACTGTGGAGATGGATGTAAAGAAAAAATCTTTTTTTTTTCTACATACTATAAGGACCGTTTCTTTTATTAAATGAAATAAAAGTAATTTTTACATGCCTGACTAGAAGATAAACCGCAGGTACCTGTGGTGCTCACGTCGTGTCTATCGTGGCTAGTAGGATACATCAGACATAAGGGATTTGTAGCTGTTGGCAACAGCAAACCTTTTTCAAATTGTATCTGGGGGCACGGCAGTGCCCCCACCAAGTCGAGCAAAAAAGCGGCACGGCCGTACCATCCTTTTCTCGAAGCAATTCAGGCCATTTTCGACCGCCTGTAACTTCGTTGTGGATAAAACTAGAAGGCTGAATTTTCATTAGCTATGCAGGCATTGTAAAGACACGGTATATTTAAAATTTCATTCAATTTGAACCAGTAGTTTAAGAATTATAACGGGTCAAAGTTACTTAATTTTGTCACTCACTGACTGACTCACCGATCATCAAAATTCTAAGGCACTTCTAGCAGACCTAGAAGCTTCAAATTTGGAATATAAGTAGTGTTTGGTGTATGAATCAAGGAAAAACTAAAATATTTGGGGGCACGGTAGTGCAACCGCCAAGTCGAGTNATGTGTGATATTATGTTTACAGGCCTTGATTAATTGTCGAAGTTGATTAATTTTATTAATCAAATCAAATCCAGTAATGTGGTTTTTCGTTCACAAAATAAAGGCAGGGGCTACTGTTGTGGATATCAATCTACACAATGTAAAACTGTGGTACCTACTTCGTATATTACTTTGTGTAGGAATATTAGCTAATTTAAAGAAAAACGAGAAAACTTTTGTAAAACAAGTGCATTCACTTTTTTTTAGTAAAAAAGTCAAAAAGACATTTAAAAACAATAGAAATATAAAAAAACTACAATAAGTTAAAAATCCCATCAAAAACAATACTTGTCAAAAAAACCAAGTCTCGCAACTCAGTTGTTCTACGGTAAAAAGTTGTGAGATCCATGTAATACCAAGTCCAGGCCAGGAAATCTTTAACGTTTTACATAAATATATTGACTTGGCCATCGCATGAAAATACGTGTGATTTAAATTATTTAGTGCGATGGCCAAGTCAATATATTTATGTAAAACGTTAAAGATTTCCTGGCCTGGACTTGGTATTACATGGATCTCACAACTTTTTACCGTAGAACAACTGAGTTGCGAGACTTGGTTTTTTTGACAAGTATTGTTTTTGATGGGATTTTTAACTTATTGTAGTTTTTTTATATTTCTATTGTTTTTAAATGTCTTTTTGACTTTTTTACTAAAAAAAAGTGAATGCACTTGTTTTACAAAAGTTTTCTCGTTTTTCTTTAAATTAGCTAATATTCCTACACAAAGTAATATACGAAGTAGGTACCACAGTTTTACATTGTGTAGATTGATATCCACAACAGTAGCCCCTGCCTTTATTTTGTGAACGAAAAACCACATTACTGGATTTGATTTGATTAATAAAATTAATCAACTTCGACAATTAATCAAGGCCTGTAAACATAATATCACACATCACTACTGGAACGGGAATTAGATTTCATAGGTACAAACGAACTCTTGCATCATCCTTTGGCCTGAATACAATAAAATGTTTTAAAAAAAGTTATTAACTACGAGTTTTAAATCAAAGCGAGAAGACTGTTAAGTGACTTTAGTTTTTACAATTATTTGTCGCTCCTTATTTTACCCACCTCTGATAAATTTAAATCGTCTGGTGATGCGATCAGCTACTGAAACAAAAGCACTGTTAAACAATTTTATCAATAGTCTACTCTTTAACAGTTAGCCAATCTGGAATTCTGGAAGAAAATGAAAGAAAGTGAAGGGCACAGAATTCAGCGTGCGCGCTACCTGACAAGTGTCACGGCTGTGTGTCCGCCGTGAACGTGGGATAATAAATGATACACGTCGTTGACGTCGTATTTAGTAAATTCCGGTTTATAGGCGCAGCGCCCGAGCAATGCGCCTGCGCCTCCACAACTAACTCATACACATCGGGAATAACACATGCGATTACACAGACATAGATAGGTGGTACACATTACATCATAATAGGTAATACGACCCCACACAAGAGTATCATCTGAAATCAAGGTACGAACCTTGGATTTCATAACTAGCTAAATGACGGGATAACAATTTGAACAACTGAACTTATCATAAATTAGTTAAGAGTTTTTCACTTACTTAAAGACGGAGTTTTCTTCTTCTGTGACTTTCCAGGAACACAGTCAAATCGTGTCGGACTTTTGTCGACACATCCGCTGTGGTATTTGGACCACATCTTTTGTTCTCCCAAACACGGCTTTAGATAAGCTTCTGAGGAACTTTCTCCTACACAAAACATAAAAGTTATAAATTGATAATTGAATTATTATCCCAATATTATTTTATTATTATCATCTAATAAAATTTGTATGAATACAATACAATTAATATTCATTTATTTAGGGAAACCAGGGCTTTAAAGATAGGTATGAGAATTTCACTCAAAAGACAAAAAAGAAATGGCAATGCCAGATTTTGTATGAAAGGTGGCGTCTTTTTTTTTTCGCGCGGCCATCGACCAAACTTTGTTTTTTGATTACAAAATAGTGTAATAATCCAAACTTACTACGGCATGTATACCTCTAAACTCAGTCTGAACTGAGTTACGAGTATTAGAAGTTTGATGATTTTCATACTAGATTTGCTTTTTGCGCGCAAGTTTTGTAAGAAATTGAACAAAACATTGCGGTATTTTTTTATTGCGCTGATTCTACTCCATACTGATGTTTAGAGCCTTTAATGGATGGTATTGTTTGTTTACACATACAATGTCACTATTTTGTTGCAATTTCTTACAAAACTTGCGCGCAAAAAGCAAATCTAGTATGTAAAATCATCAAACTTCTAATACTCGTAACTCAGTTCGGACTGAGTTTAGAGGTATACATGTCATAGTAAGTTTGGTTTATTACACTATTTTGTAATCATAAAACAAGGTTTGGTCGATGGCCGCGCGAAAAAAAAAAGACGCCAATTTCCGGCATTGTCTTTTCACTTACCAGAACCATTCGGTATAGGTGGCAACAGTCTTGGAGAACGGTAGCCCGGCGCACGATTTCTACTTGATTGCATTATGAATTGAGCTCACACCTCGCTTGTCGACGCTAGGAGTCTACCCCCAAATAAAAGCGAGCTACTACAGTAATTTCTGCGAACAATATAATTTGAGAAATTCAACCACATTTATCGTATCAACCAGAGAATAATGTTTGGGTACAATTTATAATAATAATGTTATGAAACAAAAATAATCTTTATTATGGCATTGACTGATATAGGTCACAATATTTGTTACAACACTGTCCAACCAATGTGTACATAGATTGAAAACTGTTTCCAGTGGAGTTGTCAAGCAAGCCCACCCACGTGAATTCTGTGTAGGTGACCAAAGAAGCCGAGGATAGAACTCGAATCTACAAAGAAAATCAAATGTTTATCTTGTACCAGAGTATTATAACATTTTGAAGCTATTATTTCCACCGATTCATAAAAAGAGTTGACGGGATAAATTTCCAACGCATCCGCTTGGTGGTCGTGAACTCTGCTTCTGCTTTTATCAGGTCCAGATCTGCTTCAACCGCTGCTTGCTATAGTTATGACCTGAGGACCGCGATGTAACAACTTCTTCAGAACCAATGTCTTGTTAATGGCTGTAATCACAGACGTCCGAGGTTTGATCCTCTCTCAGAAGCAGCGACAAAAGAATGTTTTGCTCCATACCCTGAGGCGGGGTTATAGTGAACTCTAGGCCGCTGACTCACGTGTCCTGGAACCCGATGCAGACCCGACGGAGGCGCTTACGCCATTTACATTCCTTATCGGCACCCCTTCTAACGATCTTCAAACACGGCCTTTTGACGACTCCGATCTATCCAGCCGGGCACAGTGGCGGAAGGCACAGCTGTTGTGATGTTGCGGCGTTCAACCTCTTTGCACTATTCTGTGCAGCGTGGCGTTTTAATTTTAATTTTTATAAGGCTTCTTTTGTTTTTCACTCTACCATTTTTCTATTGTACTGAACTGTCATGATTGTAATATATTCGCAAAAACCGTAAAAAGTGTTATCATTTAATGGCACCATTATGTTCTACGAAACATAATTAACATCCTGAATGTGATTTAGAGTTTGGAGGTAGCAATCGTGCTTGACGCTTGCCACTCATGATTTCATTAGTGCGAAATACATTCGAGGCGAAAATACAAAACACACGACACCAGTGGTAAGCAGATTAGTTGGCAGCTGCTTATAAATTTAGTCAAGCTTCAAAGTCAAACAAGAGATTTCGGAGATAGATGGCGTAACAACAATACAGTGTGAGTCACGTTAAAGTGTACATGTGAAAATAGATGAAACTAGACCTATTTTTATCGACAAAAAAAAGGTCAAAAAATTTTTGAGATTTTTTTTTAATTTTTCATAGAATTTTTTTTCTTCAAATTACTTATTGTAAAGAAAATGTAATAACTTTTAAACTAAGCGGTATATCCTGATAAATTAAAAACAGTAATAATGCTAAATAACAGGCGATACTAAAAAAATACATAGAATACACAAAAAATGCCAACAAATAATAAAAAATGATACTTTTTGAAAAAAATCTGCTTAAAAATTCGTGTTTTTTTGGTTATTTTATAAATTTTTCCAAAAAATGCCCCTACAACCGGTGGTTTTTATTACTTTGTATTATTTTCTATCGTATTATCTTTGTAAAACCAAAAATCGCATGTCTCTATCCCTTTCACAACATTTGCTATGATCGTTTGAACAAAGGCCTGCCACAACATTATTCTCCGCTACAGGTAGAGACAATTTTAATTTTAACTAAAATGTTTAATTTACCTCGAAATCTTTTGTTTTTATTTGAAATCTAACTTGTCTTTATTAAAATTACAAATCTAGAGCCATTTTCAGTTTTGTTGTTAACGAAGCGTTGAATGGCGCGCCCGGAGAGGCTTAGTTCAAACGATCATTGCAAACGTTGTGATAGGGATAGAGACATGCAATTTTTCGTTTTACGAAGGTAATATGATAGAGAATAATACAAAGTAATAAAAACTACCTGTTATAGGGGCATTTTTTGGAGAAATTTATCAAATAACCAAAAAAACACGATTTTTTAAGCGGATTTTTTTCAAAAAGTATAATTTTTTATTATTTGTTGGCCTTTTTTGTGTATTTTATGTATTTTTTTAGTATTGCCTGTTATTTAGCATTGTTACTGTTTTTATTGTATCAAGATATACCGCTTAGTTTAAAAGTTATTATGTTTTCTTTACAATAAGTAATTGAAAGAAAAAAAATTCTATAAAAAATTAAAAAAAAATCTCAAAAATTTTTTGACCTCTTTTTTGTCGATAAAAATAGGTCTAGTTTCATCTATTTTGATATGTACACTTTAACGTGACTCACACTGTATATTGAAAAGTGAAATCTCGGTAGGCCACGCCCTCGATAAACTACGATGATTTTCCTGTGTTGTTTTGTATAGTTTCATGTTAATTTTGTTTGCATTGTTTTGTTTGCATGTTGTTAAACATACAAATTCGCTATCACCCGTATTCACAAATGATACTTACCTATGTGAAGCAGAAACGCTATGCGAAATGAGACATTTCTCAATGCGTTCCATATGACAAGCCTTTCAATTCATAAACAATACTTAGACGACCCTTGACTATGCAAAATCAGAGTGTTGAATAGTGCTCTGTGATTGGTTCGCTTATGTTACGCACTTCACTCCGCTAACTGACATTCCTGTCATTCAAACGGTGCAACGGTTTTTATGTGTCATTCAATTTGTGGATTTATGAATTAAATATGTAAATATGGATAAAACTACAACTATCAGGTTAGTATGAATACTTCGATTTTATTGTTTATTTTCATTCAATAATAAAACACTGTCTTGAGCAGTAATAAAAATAGTGAAAATCATGTGTTTCGATCATTATTTTTAAGATCAAAAAAGCTGCCGTTTTCTTCTTCCGAAAGAGAGCTGCTGATTGTAGAACGGCCTATTATTGAAGACAAGCATACCTATTATTATCCTCTCTAAAATATCGAGTTGAATAAGCAGACCTGGGAAAATCTAACAGTGACTTACAATTCTCAACCATATTTATGTTTCACAAAGGCTCACACATCAACTGAAAACATGCTGGAATAATTTAAAGACCCAAAGAAAGAAAGAACTTTCTCAGGAATCAATCAAACGTTCTCAACACCCACTAGTAAGTAATGTTTTTAAAATATTAGTAGGTAGATTTATGAGGAATAACTAAGCAGAGTATACTCAAAGGAATTAAATTCATAATTTGCTTTTCAGGTATCAAGAAATTAAGATTAGTAGTAGCAAGAATGAAGATTAAGACAGAAACAAGAATCAAACGCACCACATTGAATAATATACAACAAGAAGACCAGGCTTCAGGTTGCGTCAACTCGGCGGGCCTGTCGGGCAACCCGTAACCCCCCAACGGAGAGGGGCCGGGGGCCCCGGCTACGGAAGTCGGGGCCAAGACAAGGAAAAGTCTTTAAAACCCTCAAATGCCAAGGTCTGGGGGGGCCGAGGAGCAGTGTCGGGTATTATTAGCTCGACACGGTCGGTGGAGTATCACCGGCCGTTACCCCTCCCGGGAGTGAGGGGGGGCAGCTGCGCCCGCAAGCAGTTTGAAAAAAATTAATAGTGTCAAAACGGATAAAACTACCCGGGCGGGTCCCAGCCATGCTGGGGAATCCCGTGGCCGCTCACAAGGCGGTCGGCCCTGTGTATACGGGGAGGCCAACACTTTTCCGCGGTCTCGACCGCGCCACGACGGCAAATACAAACCCACAACGGACTCGAATTCGCTCTACGATACGGAACATGACGAACAGGAGGTGGAGGCCTGTGCCCCGAAGGTACACGCCGAAACCAGCGACCACAGCAAGAATATGACGGACTCTGAACTGGGGTCGGAGGCTTCTGCAACCTCTGCGTTACCGGATAAGAAGGTTCGACCCAAACCAACACGCAAGCGCCGGAAAGAGATTGCCTGTCTGCATGAGAACTCTTCTCTTTCGGAGGAGGAAGTGGCCCCAGCACCTAAATTCAGCGGTAAGAAGGCCGGCAGTGGCCAGCGGGCGGACTATTATAGGAGAGTGGAGGAACTGGAGGAGCTCGACTTTAATGCCGACCTCGATAGGAGGGCCAAGGCCAGTCTGGTCCGCCGAGAAAGGAGTCGGGCGGGTTCAATCTCGCCGAACCTTGAAGATCCCAAGTCCAAGGTGGACTATGAGAGGCTGGACCTGGAGCAGCTGAGGGCTCGCGGGGGACTGTTCGTCTCCGAGATCGCCCGCGTCTCTCAGGCATCCGGACGTTTACAGGGTCCTCTGAAAGGAGCCCTCAACAGGTCAGCGGATAACCTCGCCGGCATCCTCGACCAGCTGGCAGCCCGCTCCGAGACGGAGGAAAACCGCCGGCTGAGGATCGACAACGCCAACTTGAGGCGAGAAATGGAAAGTCTCCATGTGGAGATCCGCGCCCTTAAGCGCGAGATGGCGGAGCTGACTGCCAATGTCGGCAAAAGGAATGTCATGCCCCCGCCGGCGGTCCCGTCAACTCACGAGGACGACATGGAGGCCCAGACCCACGAGGACGAGATGGAGGCCCAGGCTCCCGCGAGAGACCCCTTCCCCCAGGGCGCATTATGCGCCCAATCTATAGAGGAGCTCCTGCAGATGGCCTGCCAAAAAGCTATAGACTCGGCGGCCAAGCTCATAGACGCCAGACTCGGAGATCTGCAGAGCCGTTTGCCGCCCCAGAGGACCCTCCGCCCCCCACTAGCGGCTGACTCAAGAACTGCCTCGGCCCCTACGGCAAGCTCAGCCCCTGCAGCAGGGCCGGCCCCTGCGCCCAAGACGGCCCCGACGGCACCCAAACCTAAGCCGAAGGTGAAGCTAACCCCTCCCCGCAGCGCAGCCATTGTTGTGACGCTGCAACCTGAGACGGAGAAGAGAGGGGCAACTTATAAGAAGGTGCTCACCAAGGCCAAGGCTGCAGTGGACCTAGCTGAGCTGGGAATCCCGAACATTAAGGTCACTGACTCGGCGACCGGAGCTCGCCTAATTGAGGTTCCAGGCGCCGAGTCCAAGGACAAGGCAGACAAGCTGGCCATTCAGCTGAGGGCGGCTCTCGGTGGCGACGTAATCGTCACCAGGCCTGAAAAGCGCGCAGACATTCGCATTATCGGCCTGGACGAATCAGTCACCAGAGAGGAGGTTGCCGAAGCGATGGCCAGCAGGACGGGCTGCTCTCAGGAGGCAGTGAGAGTGGGGGAGATTCGGCGCAGCACCCGTGGTGAGGGAACTACCACGATTAGCTGCCCAGTCGTAGCGGCCAAAGCCCTGTCGGAGGCCGGTCGCCTTCTTGTGGGCTGGTCCTCCGCCCGTGTACAGGTCCTGTACACTGGTCCGTATACAGTTAGCAAGTAGAAAACCTAAAAAGCGCCCCTTTCGGGGGCCCCCACCACTTAAGCACAACTCCGTCGAAGTCGAAAACCTAGGAGAGTCTTAATGGGCAACCAATGAAGCCATTAAAGCAATAAAATCTTTTGTAGGAATTATTTCCGATTTAAAATCTAATTCTACTGGCCTATGCCCTGAATTTCATTAACTAGAGAAAAATAAAGGACACCATATGCATAGTAGACCCCGACACAAAACAGGAAATACAAGACCCCAAAAGACCGCGCATGACATTGGACACCGATAAAAAAGTAAAATGTTTAAAAGCGCTTAAAGATAGTGGATATGCTGGCAGAACTAATTTATCCCTCGGGGACTAGAAGCGCAGTGTAAAATGTCCAAGTATATTTATTATTATTATTATTTGTACGCTTTGGAGCTCACGGGTCAAAAGTGGCCCGGTCCTTTATAAGGCTTGCGTGGGGATACAGATCCAACACGTAGAGGCCGTTTTAAGCGCAAAATAATCGACAAAAGTGAAAGTGGTGCACATACTGGATCTAGTCTCTGACTATATCATGGGATGTAGCCAGAGACCATCCCCAGCCTGTGCACAGGAGATATTGCAGTTATTGGAAAATGGACTAAGGTTATGATGGATGAAGGATGGATGGACTGGTTACTGGGCTATGGATTATT